CACACATATAGTTAGATTCTAATTTACGACGGGTTAGGGACCCCAGGTCAGAAGTCCGATAGATAAAAAGAAAAAATTTTTCAAAAAAAAAAAAAATCTACAATGAAATACAGTATACTAAATGTAATAGGATAATGAGGAATGGATACAGTGACTGAGTTATACTCTACCTTAAATGTAGTCAGTTGAATGCACACAGGGCCCCTATAATTTTCTATTTACAGGATACATGTGGAGATTATATTAATTTTGAAAGAAGCAGAAGAGGAGACAGGGCTGGGTGGGTCATCAATGTTGCTTTCTTCTAGACAGGTTTATAAAGGTGAAAACATGCTGGTTGAAGGTATTGGTCTATCTTGAGGAGTGAAGAGGGTACTGGGGTGGGGCGGAGGAGATAGCATCAGACTTCTTGAAATAGATGTCCAATTTAGACCGGGTACAGTTTGGTTTTTCTTTCATTATAAATTTCTCTTGTAGCAAGCAAGTGCTTCCGGATCAATTCCCATCAATTTTGGCATAACGCTCATAATTTTTGATCCATGTGCCATCAAACATTTGCATTGCTTTATTAATTGTAGCAATGCCTCTGCCATTTGTTTCACTGAAAACTTTTTGGGGGGTGCAGGTTCTTCACATTTGTCTCTCTCCTCTGCAATTTTCGTGTACTAGTCTAATAAGATCCTCGTTACTGAGCTCTTCTGCTAATTTCAACCAAACCGTCCAACATCTTCAGTATCAATTTTAACTCCAGCTGTTTACCTAACTCCACTATCTGTTACTAATATCCAATATAACTTCAGTTTCATTAAATCCATTGAAACTGTGCACATATCTTTTTCAGGATTTACTTCCATATTCCATTCATGCAATGTTTTGTAACCTGATCCCATGCTGCACTAATGTTCTTTATACATGACAAAATGTTGTACTCCTCTAAAAACTCTGAGCTGCTTTCACCTTCAGTTGCAGCAACAGCCCGAGGTTTAAGGCCAGCGAAATAATACGCTTAGCTAAAGGCAATAGTGAATCTTTGATCCAAGGGTTGGATGATAGAGGTAGTGTTAGGTGGAATGCATACTACCTTAACATCAGGGTGCATGTCGTCCAGGGTGTGGTGGGGTCCTGAGCATTATCCAAAATCAGTAAAATCTTTGAATGGAATATATGTTGTTGCAGACAATACCCTGGCCGTGGAATGAACCAATCCTCAAAACAGTACTAGGGTCATCCAGGCTCTCTTATTACTGATAAACACTGGCAGTGTGTGCTTGCTGACATGTTTAAAAGCCCTTGTTCTCTGAATGATAGATCAAGAAGGGCTTTAGCTTGAAACCAGCAATATTCCCCACAGAAGTGTAATTCTGTTCTGCCGCCTTGAACCGTGGGCATTGTTTTCGCCTCTTTGTGATGGCGTCCGCCTCAGGCATGCGCTCACAATAATCCAGTCTCATCCATATTGAATATTTGTTCAGGCAAATAATTCCTCTTCCCACAATCACATCATCTAACCTCCTTAAAAGCTTCAAGAAAGACCAACATCGGCACTAGCTGCCTCTGCACTCACCTTAACATTGTGTAGACTGTAGTTGTTTTTTAAATCTATATCAAACCACCCATGACTCCCCTGTAAAGGCTCTGATCACATTCATCTCCTCTGCCTGCTCCTTCAGGCTTTGGAACAGGCTTCTTGCTTTATCAGCGGTTAGAAGGCCTAGGGCACACGCTTCTGTATCTGGTCTTCTATCCATATCAATGAATAGGACCTTTGTCTTCTTTGATATTAATATAGTTCCCTTATAGGTGTTGTCTTTCACTACTCACGAGAATACGTTCCCTTGTCCTTCAGAATATGATGAGTCGAGTATGAGAACCTAGGTCGAAAAGAGATTATTGCTACTGTTTTTCCATTCTCATGCTGTGTTATCTCATTTCATCTCAAAAGTAACTGCCTGTCTCTTTGAACACCACCAGCACTCTCACTTTTTACACTTTCCAGTCATTATAAAGTCAATTAAATACGATAATAACGAAGTTCACAGCGCACATCAGTATAGGACACGAGAGAGCCAAACAGAAACAAAGCGGCCCACTGGAGTGAGTGTACCCACGAGTTACCCGAGACGCCGCCCACCCACTACCGGACGGAAATCGTTTCGTATAGAAAATGTGCTATTTGAAAATATTTTTGGTCATGATCCGTCATGTCGATGTCCCGACGTGGCGACGTCAAAGCAGGTCTGTATACCAATGGACGAAGTCCATGTAGTCGTAAATGGGTCTAGCTGTGTGTGTATATATATATATATATATATATATATATATATATATATATATATATATATATATATATATATATATATATATATATATATATATATATATATATATATATATATATATATATATATATATATATATATATATATATATATATATATATATATATATATATATATATATATATATATATACAGAGTACAGACTGTACTCACCCCTGAAGATGTGAATTACACGAAAGCGCTTGGGAACTTCGTGTTTTCTTCTTTCCTTGTGGTTATCAGCATATACCTAGATCACGCGCACCTACAGTGATTTACTTGCATATACAGGTTGTACCTCTCTAGTCTGGCAACCTCGGGACCTGACCGGTGCCGGACCATGGAAATTGCCGGACCATGGCAATTGCCGACCATGGCAACCCTTTTCCTGGATAGATAGTGACTTGTGCTTATGCCTGGAAGCACTAGCACCACTTTCTGTGTCATGGTCTCTTTGAAGACATATTGAAGGGTTAAATGTCGATAGTAGCTTCTCAAATTTCATGAAGTTTTAATTCTTAACGATTTTATTGGAACACACACAAAAATAAATAAATAAAAAATTTTGACGGCGAAACTTGAATTTCGGACGGGTTTGAGCGGCCAACGCAGATGACGGCATAATCGTAAACAGCGCCATTTCTCTTATGTACAAGATTCATTATTGTTTATTACTGAATGTCTTTTATTGAATTAATGTTTATATGTGCAAAATGAGCAATACAATCTATTAATACGTGAGAACATTAAAACACATGAGGAAATGACACAGCATTGTTTTCATTGATTACAAAACCAGTGACTGACTGGTTCTACATATAAAACTGAAGAAAATAAGACCTGGTTGTAGCTGTAGTTAAATTAATATGGTTGTTTTAGTAATGTTATTTAATGTTAATAAATGGAACAATTGAAGTAAGCTAACGATAATGGTAAAGAAAAGAGAGATCGATATGTAAGTGCGATGCTTAATGCGGAAAAAATATCGTTATTACTTACATAAGAATATGAAAGCAACACTTATTTACTGTTCATACATAAGAATATGAAAGCAACACTTATTTACTGTTCATATATTTTAATTAATGTTTCTGAATTTGTTTTTATTGAATTAATGTACGTGCAAAATTAACAATACAATTTAATAATAATACGTGGAATGTTAGAGGAGACGAGACTGTTGCCAGCATTGTTTATGTTAAGTTACTAAACCAGTGACTGATTGGTTCTACATATAAAACTGAAGAAAATAAGACCCTGAGTTTAGCTTTAGTAAAATTGATGTAAAAATGAATATGGTTGCTTGAAGTACCTGTAATGTTATTTAATGTTAATAAATGGAACAATATAAGTAGCTAACCATTAATGGTAAAAAAGTGAGACTGCTAGTATGTAAGCATTACATGGTAAAATATATCGCTATTACTCTACATAAGAATATGAAAGCAACACTTATTTACTGCTCATATATATTGAAGGGTTAAATTTGTACTCTGTATAGACAAGCAGAGAGATAGAGAGAGAGCAGTCAACTGCTGGATGTAAACAAACCTTAATTTCCGCCGCTTTTTTTTTTTTATGATTAGCCCACCTGGGCATAGGTCACTGACCCACATTGGGGCCTGAGGGCAAAAAATTTAATCCCTGTAATAATATAATAATTCAGATAAAAAAAAAAAGAGCTGCCTATCTACCTATTGGACAAACTAAAATCGCTCCAGACCACGGAGCCGGGACCACAGAATGCCGGACTAGAGAGGTACAACCTGTATATACAGTATATATATACTGTAATATATATATACTGTATATATATATACTGTATATATATATATAGTATATATATATATATATATATATATATATATATATATATATATATATATATATATATATATATATATATATATATATATATATATATATATATATATATATATATAGCTAGACCCCGACTTACGACTGTTAACTTACGACCGTCGGACTTACGACCTCCAGATTTTTATTAAAAAAAAAAAATTTTTTTTTTTTTCTTCAAATGACACACGATTTTCTATACCGAACGTTTCCAGTTAATGTAGTCTCCATGTATAATTAGAAAATTATAGGGATTCTATGCATTCAGCTGACTACATTAAAGGTAAGTGCTCAGTCACAATTGTATCC